ATGCCCTGGGGGTAAGCAGATAAACATCAAATTTTCATTTTTGGGTGAACTATCCCTTTAACAAAGAAATGCTCAGCATTTTGTCCAAGCAATAATAAAAGGACATCTTTTAACTTATCATTTGTCTTAAATCTGATTTTTTATTTTTTTTTAAATAATAATAAAAAAAATATATATATAATCATGAAAAAATTTTATCATGAAATCAGTATTGCATCGTGAGTTGAGTGAATCGTTACATCCCTACAAAAAATGTCTGCAGATTTCATCTGGGCCTAACCTAGTTACTTGAACAATAAATAATACTGAGTTTTCTGAACTCAGACTATGATGTTGAGAACGTTATGATCAATGTTCTTGTTTATTCATGGAATGCAAATAAAGATTTATCAGTTGTGAATACACAAGACTTTGATCCTGTTTATACCTGGATTTAACATCTGATCACATGTGGACAGTGGTCACATGAGGTGCAAACATGAGAAAATCTGTCACAGCTGATCACATGCGATCTGATTAACCGAGATGGATGTTAATATCAGGTGTAAACATGGTAAACATGAAAAGGATCCAGAAATAGATGCAAAATTAAATGTGGCACTCTGACTGACGAAAGTGACATGCACTAATGAGTGAGTGACCTCCCGCAGTGCTGCAGAGAGTGAAAATGTACTGTGGCCAGGAGCGGTCTAATTTCATGAGCTACAAGTACCACGAGGTCATGTTGCCACCGAGAGCTGCCAAATATCACAGACAGCATTCATAAAGAAGCTCAATTACCAAGGCAAATTTAAGCATGTTAACAATCAAGTTAATTCTATCTGCTGAATTTCTGAAACAGCACCAATCCACCTCTTTTTAGTTAGTTTTGATTTGCTGGCTATTGCATATGGCAGAGAGTGAGAAAAAAATGTGGTTGTGGCAAAAGTGCAGTAAAGTAAATAGAGTTTTGTCTGTGCAATCACTGAATTAGAGTTAAAAGCTGATAATACAGCAGAGCAATCTCAAAATCTACCAAAAACTTATTCTACCATTCCAAAGTTTGGGGTCAGTAAGATAAGAAATGTTTATTGGAAAAATATTAAACTGTAATAATATTTTACAATATTACTGTTTTATTATATTTTTGATCAAATAAATGCAGCCTCTTATTTAAAAATCTTACCGAACCCAAACTTCTGAATAGTAGTGTAAATGCTTCATGATCTAGTATAGCATATCGACCTTAGAGAACCTGAGAAGCACTCACTACCCAGCCATGAACCACTCATAAAATTGTTGCTCATGAAATTTAATCCTTACTTTTTTATCTCAGTACACCTTTCATCAGTTTCGAAAAGTTTTCAAGAACTCATAGATGCACCTTCATTAATTTAATATGAACTGTGTGGATATTATATATAGATCACACACACACACACACACACACACACACACACCCACACACACACACACACAC